AGTATGATGCTGCTCTGCCTGTGGTTTTCCCCACCCACCACCATGGAAGTATAAAAGGCTCTAGGCAGACAGTGACATCAAGACACAGTATACCTACTGATACACAACAGTCCACTCCTGATACCATGAGCTACTACGGCAGCTACTATGGCGGCCTGGGCTATGGCTATGGTGGCCTAGGCTGTGGCTATGGCTGTGGCTATGGCTATGGTGGCTATGGTGGCTATGGTGGCTATGGTTATGGCTGTTGCCGCCCCCTGTGCTGTAGAAGATACTGGTCCTATGGCTTCTACTGAGGAATTCCCACAGTTTCTTAGCCTATTGGCTACAACCTGCTGTTTTTCTGGAGTTATATCCAATGGTTTCCGTGATAAATTATCAAATGTCTTCAAAAACATCAAACAAATACTAACTTAAAAAGTAAGATTCAGCATGTGACTTGTTTCCTCAGCATTGATCAGATTATGTGACAATTCACAGAAAATTTTCTGTATTATCCTTATAATGCTGTGTAAAATGTGATGAAATTTGACTCTCAAAGCTTGTATAAGATGTATCATTTAATAAACTGTATTTCATCATAAATTTGCTTCGTTACTGTTTACATTATGATTCTTGCTTATATATGTGTGTGTGTTTGTCAATGGTTAGTCACAAATGTGTAGGGTGGTGTCGTGAGAAGGGATGAGCAAAAGACAGACAAGCCCAAGGGGATGTGTGGAGGTAAGAGGAGTCACTTTTGCTATAATTAGGCATCTAAGCAGCTGAATGGGTAAAAGTATAAATTCTTTCACACAGATCATACAAATCCATTTTTATGCAGTAAGTTCCTCTCTTATAGACACTTAAGTTGCAAACTTTCACAGATACAAGCACACCTCACATTATGAGCATTTAGAGAGGCAAACAAACCACAGAAGTAGCTCACCTGTGTGCCAGGCATTGTCATGGCTGTGCTGCAGTGTGTTTATTGTACAGTGTGATCGTGTACAGTGGAACAGTGCTCAGTCAGAGCCCCGGATGTCCACAAGCAAGGGGAAAGCAGTGGTGATGTGGAGGGGACTGCTAGGAAGCACAAAGAGTGTACACTGAACATATATTTGTGTCAAAGGTATATCAAACTCACTGTTTTGGACTTAGGAACAAATATGACTTTCATTTCCCCCAGAGTTGAACACGTCGCTAAGTCAGAGACTTATTGTATTGGTTAACAGATATGTCACCCATTGAAAGTTGACGCTCAAACTCCTCTACAAAAACAAATGGCGGGCTGGGGATCTAGCTCAGAGCCTGCCTGGCAAGCACAACGTCGTGAGTTTGATTCCTGGTACCGGGAAAACAAAACAAAACAAAACAAAAAAGTAACAAATGGCTCTGGGAGAAAATACCATAATATGTTATACACAGATTTGAGTACACATCAATGTAGAATTTCACACAATAACAAATACCCACACATCAAATAGACATAGTAATAAAATATAAGACCTTATTTTAAAGAATAAAAACGTAAAATTTCTAGCCAATTAGTGAGAAAATTTATTTCTTTAAATTATACCATTATGATATATTTAGGTAGAAGATAACTAATGGAGACAAAACACATACATTCAAAAATAATATAATTATTTAAAAGCAGAAATAAATTTTAACTGTACACATATAGCAGGATTTACTTTTCAGGTTCTAATATACAAAAATGAGTTATATAACAAGAGTATCATAAAAACCTCAGTACAAAAGAATCTAGAGCTAAGGTTTTAAACTTATTAGTAGAAAGAAAGAGCAGCATGTATTGCGGTAGACAGCATTAAATTAATGAAATTCAAAGAGTCTTAAAATGTAGAAGTTCAACTAGTGAAGCTGCGTTAAAAAGTTGAATGCAGAAAATAAATAGACTCATCCATAACATTACTGGGTGTAGGTGTGTATCCTGACAAAATGCCTGTTCTTTTTTTTTTTTTGGTTTTTCTCTGGTACCGGGAACCGAACTCAGGATTTTGCGCATACTAGGCAGGCGCTTTTGCCGCTGAGCTAAATCCCCAGCCCCCAAAATCCCTGTTTTTACAGATTATCAGTCTGGGGAACACAGACATTCTGTGCAGGGCTACAAAGTGAACAAGCGGGGCTGGGGATTTAGCTCAGCGGCAAAGCACCTGCCTGGTAAGCACAAGGTCGTGAGTTCAGTTCCCGGTACCGGAGAAAAACAAAAAAAAAAAAACAAAAAAAAAAACCTAAAAAACAAAGTGAACAAGCAGCAAACAAATATATAAAAAAACGTTCAACATCGCTGGTCATTGGAGAAATGCAAATTAATATAAGGCTGAGATTCCACCTCATTCCAGAAAGAATGGCTGTCTTCAAGTAATCTACCAATAACAAATGCTGGAGAGGCAGTGGGGAGAAAGGAACCCTTTTGCATTATTGGTTGTGAATGCAACCACTGTGGAATCAGTGTAGAAAAGCCTCAAAAAAATTGGATTAGATGTTCCACTTGACCCAGCTATTCCACTTCTGGGTATTTTTCCAGAAGAATAAAAAAATAAATAAAAAATCATACCACAGAGGTATATGTGTACCCATGTTTATAGCAACACCGTTTGTAACAGCTAAATCTTGGAAACAACCCAAATGCCCATTGACTGGGGAATGGATAAAAAAAGATGTGTTAGGGGCTGGGGATATAGCTCAGTGGCACAGTGCTTGCCTTGGAAGCATGAGATCATGAGTTCAATTCCTGGTACCACCACCAAAAAAAATAAATAAATGTGTTTTTTTATGCGACTGAGTACTACTCTGCCATACAGAAGGATAAACTTGTGACATTTCAAGGTAAATTGATGCACTTTGAGACCATACCCTTAAGTGCAATAAATCAGCCAGCTGACTACATTGCTTCTCTGGTGTGAGAAACCAAAAGTGCAAATAAGGACCAAAGTGTGTAATAAGTATTATGAAATGGGAAGAAATTGTTCTAAAGAAAGGGGAACTATGCAGGTGTGGAGGAAAGAAGAAAAAGAGAAAAGTGTTGAAAGAAGGGCAAATGGAAACAAAGCTTTGTAAATAAGGAAGGAAAGAGGTTGAAGGGAGAAGAAGGTATTGGGGAAGAAAATAGGAATCAAGATATATCATTTATAGACACAAGTTCCCTATAATGAATAATATATATATAGATGAATAATATAGCATATGTATTGATGTCTTAGACATTTACCTTTTTGCTTTTACCTGATACTGACAACATAATAAAGGAGATGCTTATATTATGAATATTATAATATATATAGATGAATAATATAATATATATAATAATGTTAATAATATATATTTATCCAATAAAATTTAAAAACCAAAAATATATCTTTTGAATTTTCTCAGGTCTTAACATCTGTCTGTCTCAACACCCATTTCTGCTATTGTAATGCCAAACCAGACACACTTCCTGTACATAAGAATGGGTGTGAATGTTTTACTATCAAATATTATTTACCAAAACAAATCATGGACAATAGCTGTGCATTTCGGGGTTTGATATTATTCAACATAAATGGTGCTTTCTTCTCCCACCTTTAGGGAAGGATTATATTTTCCTTTCCCATTAAATATGGTTACGGATGTCAGTATATCCTTAGCTTACTGGGGTCATGGCATGTACTAGTGCGTCATGTTCCTGGGATCAGCCTGGGATCAGCCTGGGATTTGAGGTGTCCGCTTTCTTAGTGCTGGACAAAGTTCCCAACACACACAGCAGAGTAGAGGTTTCAGGTCCCTCACAGGTAGAGGATTCAGTCCGAGCTCAGCTGACTATGAGTAAGAAAGAGCAAGTTGGAAGGGCATGGCTGAGGAAAGCAAAAACCCTGCGGGCTTAGTGCAGCCAGAAAATGGAGAGAGAAGGGAGGAGCGCAGAAGGACACAACCCCTTCCAGGCCCGCTGCGTGACACAACCCGTCCGCACGTCCCCCCTGCCTAACAGCACACTGACTCATAAATGAATCAGTGGATTAATTCACTGATGAGCACAGAGCCGACGATCCAATCACCTTCCCAAACTCTGTCTCTGAATTAATGAGACTTGCGGTACATTCCAGATTCAACCCATTAACACAAGTGACGACAGATACATATGGATGGAGATTTTCTCTGCATATCTGTGATTTCTCTGCTGTTTTGACACGATTTACATAGAGAACTTGCACCCTGAACTCCCACATCTCACAATGAACTCAAGAGGTATGGCCTGTAAAGGGTTGGTTGGGAAGGTGTATCTCTCTACCTAATTCCTCCTTTCCTTCTCCCCTTCATGGGTGCATGACATGAAGAGGTGACACTTTACCTAGGCTTTTTACCATGCTGCTTCTGCCTGGGAGCCAGCCAAGGGTACACCAACATAAAGGACTCTTCTGTCATGTTGTCAGTATCAGGTCAAAGCAAAATGTAAGTGTCTAAGACATCACCTGTAATCGTGCTCTAGGCAGAATATTTTTTTAAAACAGAAAGCATTTTTCAAGTGATAACTAATATAGTCCAACCACTGGTGTTTCTCCCTTCCTTCGAATTTCCCCACCCTCCCCTACCTTCTTCTCTCTTTCTGTCTTAATATCTTTCTCTTCTACAACATAAAAAATTCACATTTGTGACGAATCACACAAGAACACAAAACCATATAAGGAAAACTCATAATATAGGAGCCAACAACAGCAACAATTACGATGACATAATTTATTTAATAAAAAAATTTGCTTATACAAAACTGGAGAGTCTAATTTGATTATATCTTACACAGCATTATAAAAATAATAGGGAAACTTCTACAATTTATCTCATTGTTCAGTAGATACTGGTGAATTAAAAAGACATGCTGCCTATTTTTGGTTTTCATGTATTGTAGTTTGTAGTTGGTATTTTGAAAATATCAAAAATTTATCATGTAAAGAAAATTGGAGACTGTTGCAGTAAATCAGGAGGTTGTAGCCAATAGGCTAAACAGCTGAGGAAATTCCTCAGTAGAAACCATAGGAACAGTATCTTCTACAGCCCAGGGGGCGGCAACAGCCATAACCATAGCCACCATTGCCACCATAGCCATAGCCACAACCATAGCCACAGCCTATTCCGCCATAGCCATAGCCCAGGCCACCAAAGTAGCTGCCGTAGTAGCACATGGTGTCAGGAGTGAATTACGCAGTTGAGGATCTAGAAGTTGGTGTCTTGGTCTGGACGTCACTGTCTGCAGGGGCCTTTTATATCCCCTTGGTGGTGGGCGGGGAAGCCGCAGGCAGTGCACCATCCTATCATGTGACCAATGAGCTTCAGACAATGTCATAAAGGTTGTTACTAACTGTAAAAACAAAATCCTCATTACTGAAATCATTTGGCTCTTATGCCAGGAATTCATCATCCAATTATGGCCCTTAAAAACAAAACTGAACATATGACATGATTACAAGTTATGGCACAAAGCATGAAAATAGCACATTTTATTTTTGTTTTCTTTCCATTCCTCCACAGGTACTAGTATTTCTTTTCTTTCTTTTCTACTCCCTCCCTCCTCCCTTTGTACTTCTATATTTCATTTGTTTGTCTCTTCACCCCTTCCCTTTCCTCCATCCAACCCTTTCATCCTTCTTTCTTTATGCCCCACACTTTCTGAAGCTCTTATATCTAGAAAAGTCTTGATTCTTACTCAGATGGGCTGTTACTGCTAATGTTGGGGTAGACCATATCATATGTGTTTGCAGTTGAAGTTTAATCTGAAATTATTCCTTGTGTAAATGATTTCAAACTTCCAAAAAATAAGTAACCACTGTACAGGTAGTAACTCTATATTCTGTGCTTGTCTGTGTCACTCCATATACATGTATTGATATAATCAGAAAACTCCACAGTTCAGTTAGATGCTCCGTCCATAAATCTGACTTATTTTTTTCATACTTCTGTACTAAAAAATCAGTGTTTACCTTTGACTAGGCTACAAGCACAGATATCCGCCTGTCCACGGTGAGCTTAGAACAAGTGATAATTGTAATCATACACAAACGGGAAGGAACATACAGTACAATGCTAATGGTGAGAAAGGAAAGAATAATCCCTGCTGTTTAATACCCTAATTTAGTGTTATACAAACTCTTATGGTTTGGGGGTATAATATTTCATAG